ACAACGATCACTTTCGCTGGCCCGGGGAGTGTTGTAACGGCCCCAAAAAACCGGCGTTGTGTAAAGTGTAAAAGGAACGATCAAGCGTAAGATAAACAGCCCAGTAAATGACCGCGCACACCCATGGAGGAGGTTTTTGGGATTAAAAAAAAGGAAAAAGGAAGACTTTTGGGGGCAAAATAAAAGATACCGAGGTTTTGAGACGAAATAAGGAATAGATCAGATATGTGCTTTATAGATTTGGTGGCGACAGCTACTGGATCTGTCCTTGCGAGGACAGATCTAGTGATGGGTTCCGAACTTCTACTATTGCGAACGATTCTCGTAATCGGAATCCTTTATAACATGAAGAAGTACCTGTGTAAGGTTTTGGCTTTCCTGTACACAAACATCTGGAAGTTGTGTTGTTTGTTGATAGCTTTACTTTGCGTTATATTTTCTCCTTATGCCTCTAGACAGTTGCGTAACACAATTCAGCTGACTCAATTACTGATTCTAGGAGCAGCTCTATGGCTGGTGATTCTTACGGTGCTCTATCTGTCTAAGAGCTTCAAAACTCATTCCGTACGAGCTAGTGCGGCACAACTTCCTAGCGATTTGGCAATTCGATTCACGGATTTTGAAATGAGATTGTGGCGGTTGGAGAGGATAGTCAGAAGTTTAGCAGAGATGAATGATCACATCAATGTTAGTGCAGCTCAAGCGGACAAGAATATCAGTGACAATTCCAGATCTAGTAAGAGAAAATCCCGTCTGGTGTTTAAAGAAACCTCTGAAAATGGAGCCCTCACTCAAATTCCCGAATCTTCCCTCGGAGGAATGACAAGAAACCAACAAGATCCGGTAGATGAGGACATGGATAATTTGATAGAAGAAATTAATGTGAGCTCTCAACGCAAGACACGAAAACTCACTTATCATCGCTGCGATCATTGTGGAGCCATGGTTCCTGAATCTCATAAGTGTTGGGTTCTTGAACAAAAGGTGACGTGTTTCAAGTGCGGACAACCTAATCATGTGGCTATGGTCTGCAAAAATCAACAAGGTGGAATGTCCGTTAAATTTAGAGGAGCATCAAAGGTTGATTTTGTTCTGAAAGAAATCGAACGTTTAGTGAAGATTAAAGATCTTCTCGTGAAGAACATGAATGATTCAGCTATCGAGCCATCGTTTCGAACCCGTCGAGTTGATCCCACAGAAGGCGAACATACTGATACCACTGTTGGAACTTTACCTGCCAGAGCAAGCGATGCTCCTTTTGCGGAAACGCCGGCGTCGATCACCAACTAACGACGACGTCGGCATCTTATACTCTACCGGTTACGATTAATGACTTAAAGACCTCCGCCCTGATTGATACTGGGGCGGAAGTTAACATCATCACTCCAACTTTGAAACCAACAAAGACGTGCGGCGCTAAAATGAAGATAACTTTAGCAAACGGCGATAAAGTGGAACGGAATGGGGTCGACTGACAATGAAGTTACAAGGAAAGGTTCACCATGATTTAGTGGGTGTAGTACTGCCAGAGTCTAAACAACTCATCCTCGGAGTTCCTTACTTATTAGATCATCATGCAAAACTATACATGAAGGAGGGTTGGATTCAGCTAGACGATGAATGGTTCCAACTTTGTAAAACTCATCGACCTTTGAAGGCGTTTCGATCAGTCATGTCATGTGAAATTGACCAAGGAATGGAGGCTAGATTGGAAAGTCAATTACAGAATATTGATGAGGGAAGTGTAAAGCAGGAATTAAGAAGAATACTCTTACGTTTTTCCGAGCTTTGGCGAGATGATAGCATGGGAAGAACGTCTGTAATACGACATGCCATTCACGTAATCTCGAATCGACCAATAGCTTGTAGATGTCGAAAATACTCAGAAGAACAGAAGAAGATCATTGAGACAGAAGTGAAGTCGATGCTAGAGAAAGGGGTTGTACGCCCTAGTGAAAGTCCGTATGCCTCTGGCATTGTTTTAGTAAAGAAGAAGACTGGAGAGTGGCGGTTCTGTATTGATTACAGCCCACTCAA